TATGAAATTGTTTTGAAAACACATTCCAAAATATTTATATAATTTATAAAAATATTTTAGATTGTAATTCTGTACTGACCATTGTTATATGTAATAATTATACATCATTATTCAACAAGAGTAAATAATATTTATAAAAAAATAATTTCTTTAAACTCTATTGGAAATAAATATAAAACCTTATTTTTTTTAATGATTGTCAAAATTCTTTTCAGTATTGTTATAATCATTATCGTTATTATTGTCATTATCATCATCATGTTTCACAACAAAAGCAAATTTGAAAATGTAAAGTATTCCTTTTATCAAAACTGCCTGCACACCTAATAAGTAGAAATGTTATAATTAGTTGATGGTTGATATAAAATGAATATTTAATTGCGACTTACTTGAAATTGCTCTTCTAATCTTGATAATGCCATGGCTCTCTCAACGTGAATATGTCGGTCCATCAGAGCAAACGCTACCACCAGTGACTTCAAGGATTGCACCGCACTTTCATACCCCTGTCTCTTATACACATCTAGATGTGTATAAGAGACAGGGTAGATTGTATTTATTTTTATGCTGCATGAATTATTTTTTGTTGGTAGTCCTTCATCCTCTTTCCAAAGTGTTGAAATGATTCTGTTCCCCTTATTGTTTCCAGCAATCACATTCAAATTTAACACTGGATTCTACAGGTGTCATACTGCGATTTTCTTAATGATATGCGCTGTTTCTGTTACCAGGTGGACAAATAATGTTGCAGCTGCAACTCTTGCTTGCAGATCCATATGATCAATTCGGTGCCCCCATTCTACTTCTCCCCATTTAGATATCTGAAACAAAACAAATGGTTAGTGTAGGCTATTAGTGTATTATTCAACTACATTACATTCATTTTATAACAGAGTTCAATTTTATGAGAGCATCTATTGTACAACTTTTTAGCTTATTTTTATTTCTAATGTAAAATGCAGTGAGGCTTCTAGCAAAATGAGCTCAGTCAAAATTGAACATTTTTTATAATATATTTTACTTATTCCAATTTAGCTTCTTATTAACCCATACCCTAAAATAACTGTGATACTCTGCAGGCGTGGTGCCTGATAATTCCTAAATTGTCATATTCTTTTGGCTTCACCACACCCACTTGGCTCTTGTTGCAGACATCATTTATTATACAACACAATATATTATCTACAGTTCAAGGCTGGCTCCAATATTATTAGAAAGACTGCATAACATAATGTGATGGTAAGAGCTGAAAATCCTTATGGATCTCCACATTTGGTTGCCATTATGTGGAGAGCATAGTGTAACTTTAAACAGCCTGTCAAACCATCACCAAAAACTTGGCCAGGTCTTCCAGACAAGTATCCATCTCCCTGTAGAATTGAGGAAGCATTACTTCCAGCTGCGGTTGAGGTATTGCAGGAAACAGAACTATCAACAATTAACATCATAATCCATGGACAAATGGCAGGCAGCTTTGTGACCCTGTCCTAACTTGTTGGACTGTCTATTCCAACTAAAATGCAACATGTCCCCACATAAGGAATGTTACAAACACATGCCTATGTAAGCATGCAGTACTTAAAATGTACCAACAATTAGAATGGAAAGAAGATGATTGTCTTGTTTTTGCATGTGTCTTGATTCGTATCCAGGTAGCTAGCCAAACTAAAAGCAGATTTGGTTGTTCCTACATCTCAAATAAAATACACTAATAAATATTGGATTCCAGTTTTTACGGGCAAGATTTTAAGGGACAAATTTGCTAGTGGGCAAGTTGACTGGTTAGCATAATATGAATCAAAGGTCAAATAACATAGAATCAACAAGCCAATCATTTTAATACATATACTGTACCAGAATAATATGGTTATTTATTAAATAAGAGCAATTCTATTTTTGTTTCATAATTTTTTAAGCAACTATAGAACATCTTCAATAATTGAACATAATGACCTTACTTTAATAAACTTACATCCCATCCTCTGTAAAAGGGTCAAATAAAATAAATTATAAATATTTACTGTCTTTTCTATGAAATTGTTTTGAAAACACATTCCAAAATATTTATATAATTTATAAAAATATTTTAGATTGTAATTCTGTACTGACCATTGTTATATGTAATAATTATACATCATTATTCAACAAGAGTAAATAATATTTATAAAAAAATAATTTCTTTAAACTCTATTGGAAATAAATATAAAACCTTATTTTTTTTAATGATTGTCAAAATTCTTTTCAGTATTGTTATAATCATTATCGTTATTATTGTCATTATCATCATCATGTTTCACAACAAAAGCAAATTTGAAAATGTAAAGTATTCCTTTTATCAAAACTGCCTGCACACCTAATAAGTAGAAATGTTATAATTAGTTGATGGTTGATATAAAATGAATATTTAATTGCGACTTACTTGAAATTGCTCTTCTAATCTTGATAATGCCATGGCTCTCTCAACGTGAATATGTCGGTCCATCAGAGCAAACGCTACCACCAGTGACTTCAAGGATTGCACCGCACTTTCATACCCCTGTCTCTTATACACATCTAGATGTGTATAAGAGACAGGGTAGATTGTATTTATTTTTATGCTGCATGAATTATTTTTTGTTGGTAGTCCTTCATCCTCTTTCCAAAGTGTTGAAATGATTCTGTTCCCCTTATTGTTTCCAGCAATCACATTCAAATTTAACACTGGATTCTACAGGTGTCATACTGCGATTTTCTTAATGATATGCGCTGTTTCTGTTACCAGGTGGACAAATAATGTTGCAGCTGCAACTCTTGCTTGCAGATCCATATGATCAATTCGGTGCCCCCATTCTACTTCTCCCCATTTAGATATCTGAAACAAAACAAATGGTTAGTGTAGGCTATTAGTGTATTATTCAACTACATTACATTCATTTTATAACAGAGTTCAATTTTATGAGAGCATCTATTGTACAACTTTTTAGCTTATTTTTATTTCTAATGTAAAATGCAGTGAGGCTTCTAGCAAAATGAGCTCAGTCAAAATTGAACATTTTTTATAATATATTTTACTTATTCCAATTTAGCTTCTTATTAACCCATACCCTAAAATAACTGTGATACTCTGCAGGCGTGGTGCCTGATAATTCCTAAATTGTCATATTCTTTTGGCTTCACCACACCCACTTGGCTCTTGTTGCAGACATCATTTATTATACAACACAATATATTATCTACAGTTCAAGGCTGGCTCCAATATTATTAGAAAGACTGCATAACATAATGTGATGGTAAGAGCTGAAAATCCTTATGGATCTCCACATTTGGTTGCCATTATGTGGAGAGCATAGTGTAACTTTAAACAGCCTGTCAAACCATCACCAAAAACTTGGCCAGGTCTTCCAGACAAGTATCCATCTCCCTGTAGAATTGAGGAAGCATTACTTCCAGCTGCGGTTGAGGTATTGCAGGAAACAGAACTATCAACAATTAACATCATAATCCATGGACAAATGGCAGGCAGCTTTGTGACCCTGTCCTAACTTGTTGGACTGTCTATTCCAACTAAAATGCAACATGTCCCCACATAAGGAATGTTACAAACACATGCCTATGTAAGCATGCAGTACTTAAAATGTACCAACAATTAGAATGGAAAGAAGATGATTGTCTTGTTTTTGCATGTGTCTTGATTCGTATCCAGGTAGCTAGCCAAACTAAAAGCAGATTTGGTTGTTCCTACATCTCAAATAAAATACACTAATAAATATTGGATTCCAGTTTTTACGGGCAAGATTTTAAGGGACAAATTTGCTAGTGGGCAAGTTGACTGGTTAGCATAATATGAATCAAAGGTCAAATAACATAGAATCAACAAGCCAATCATTTTAATACATATACTGTACCAGAATAATATGGTTATTTGTTAAATAAGAGCAATTCTATTTTTGTTTCATAATTTTTTAAGCAACTATAGAACATCTTCAATAATTGAACATAATGACCTTACTTTAATAAACTTACATCCCATCCTCTGTAAAAGGGTCAAATAAAATAAATTATAAATATTTACTGTCTTTTCTATGAAATTGTTTTGAAAACACATTCCAAAATATTTATATAATTTATAAAAATATTTTAGATTGTAATTCTGTACTGACCATTGTTATATGTAATAATTATACATCATTATTCAACAAGAGTAAATAATATTTATAAAAAAATAATTTCTTTAAACTCTATTGGAAATAAATATAAAACCTTCTTTTTTTTAATGATTGTCAAAATTCTTTTCAGTATTGTTATAATCATTATCGTTATTATTGTCATTATCATCATCATGTTTCACAACAAAAGCAAATTTGAAAATGTAAAAGTATTCATTTTATCAAAACTGCCTGCACACCTAATAAGTAGAAATGTTATAATTAGTTGATGGTTGATATAAAATGAATATTTAATTGCGACTTACTTGAAATTGCTCTTCTAATCTTGATAATGCCATGGCTCTCTCAACGTGAATATGTCGGTCCATCAGAGCAAACGCTACCACCAGTGACTTCAAGGATTGCACCGCACTTTCATACCCTATCATATCCAACATGGTAGTAATAATATAATATTAATGACTATACAGTAAAGGAGAAATTTACCAATTTTATATAATTTAAAAACTGAGCATACTTGATTACTTGATTACATAACGTTTGCTCTCATAACGCTTGCTCAAAATTAGTAATGATGTTTAGTCATTACACATACCGAGTAATGCCCAGTCATTGTGAGTCATTAGATGATGCTGCAGCTTTGATCTAGTGTCTTCAGGTATCGTTGGTGGCAAGATGGACATCGTGGATGTAACGTCTGTATCGTATCGATTGTTGAACCACTCCAACAATGGATCCCACTCATTTGTTTGGAGTTCCACCAAGTCTACTGGTAAGTCTTGTCTGTAGCTACAGTAATATATTGATTATTGCTACTAAAGCAATGTATTGATTATATTGCTACTAAAGCAATGTATTAATTATAATGCTACTAAAGCAATGTATTGATTATATTGCTACTAAAGTATTGTATTGATTATATTGCTACTAAAGAAATGTATTGATTATATTGCTACTAAAGCAATGTATTGATCATATTGCTACTAAAGCAATATATTGATTAAATTGCTACTAATGTAATGTATTGATAGATTATAAAGAACATTTATCGCTGCAGCGTGAATAGCTTGGCAAGAAGCTATATAGAAACACGGTCAAGAAAACAAATAGAGCACAATTCTATCACGTCCAAGTGCAGTCTTATAACCACCCTTCACAAAATCATTATGTCCGTTCACTAACCTATTTGTCACTAATACGGTGAGTTGTACTTAAAATTACTCTATATAAAAATCAATAATTCAAACAAAAAGCAACACTTTTGAGACTAGTTGTATAATTTAAACACTCTGTGCCAAACTAAGTTAAAAAATTTAACTAACCAAACTGTATCTGTGTCAAGGAAATGGAGAATTGATGTTATCACTTGTTGCTTGCTTCTACCAGTTGGATTATCCAGTGCAGCATTACAGAGTGTCGTCTGCAAACACAATAAGGGATGAGCCTTGAGATGGTCATATTGTTGTATTTGATGTTGTATTTGACGTTGTTGTATTGGATGTTGTTGTATTTGATGTTGTATTTGATGTTGTTGTATTTGATGTTGTTGTATTTGATGTTGTTGTATTTGATGTTGTTGTATTGGATGTTGTTGCTGTTGTATCAGATGCTGATTTTGATGTGGACGTGGATATTTTAAAAACTTTTTTCATTACTGTATTATTAAATTTTCATTATTAAATCTTAACATTCACAAGTTTTTTGTGACAATTTTTGTATGATTTACTCTTATATGGGCATGATGCTATACCACACTCATTTACAAACAAATCCCAAATATTTGCCAGAGAACATTCCCTGTAAAATTGCATAGATTTCTTCACAACCAAAAAGCTCAACTCTTCATATACATACAGGCTATGAATTAACAAATATGATATCACCAAAATCCTAGAGCGTAAATACAATAACAGAATCTCCTATGCTACAACACTGAGCATTTTGGGGTGTCACACAATAAGGCTAAACACTGAAAGCAGTGTTCAAGATATTTTATATAACATTAGGTGCATTAAAAATGATTCATCATAATATATGTGATTCAACTGTCACACAGCGGAATAGACCTACCAACTGCATAGTGTGTTGCTGGATTTTGTCTGTCTGTTTATCCCACTCAGTGCACACAGCAATCGCCAGGGCTTCACTTGGCACCTGAAACACTTTTCCAGATGGCGTCTTCAACTTGCGACGATCTAGATTAATTTCATATACTCCTTCTGACTGAGTGACGCTCACATCTTTGTAAAATTTCTTCCTCTCTAAAAAATGAGAACCAAAAACATAATATTATTGATTGTTAGAAGTGCTTATGAAATGGAAAAAGTATCATCTTTTTCATTGAACATTCTTACCATTTATCATTCACCAGCTCGGTGTTGAGGTCACTCACTAGCTCAGTGTTGAGCTCATTGATCAGCTCAGTGTCTGGCTCATTCATCAGCTCAGTGTTGTGTCCATTTTTCAGCTCAATGCTGGGCACACAGGGGTGGCGGTGGTGGCGCCAGTGGTGAAAACCACAATTTGTTGGGGAGAAAAAAATTATATGTATTTTCTAAATATTACAGTAGTAGTAGACTACAATCAATTACATAAGCCTTTCTTCGAAACCTGTCACATTTTTCCATACCCTCCCCCCTCCACCCAACTCCAGATCGCTTTTGAAAGATTTTGAGCGACGTTCGACAACCCCCACATTGCTCGTCTTAATCACAGTGTTTATCGATGTTGATATGCTAAGTAATACCCTATTCAGACTAGACTTTGCATTGCGGCTGGTTGCGATTTAATCGGTGGTAAACAGTTGTAATTCAAGTTGTTCGCAACCATTCTCAAACTTCGACAGCATTCGGACACCTATTTTACATCACTAGCAACGATATAGGTCGTCCTGTTTTGTTTGACCTTATAGCCAATCAGTGCCTGTGGAATCCGTTGCTATCGGATTCCAAGGTAATTGGGAGTAATAAAGATTGTAACACCCAATCGCAACGGGTACCAATTGCGAAATCGATTACTTATCGACTACTAGGCCTACTATTGGTGAGCTTTCAGACACGATTTTACTTTGCGATTGGGTGCGCCTGGGTATCACAATTGCTACAACCGATTGCAATGCGAAGCTAGTCTGAATGGGGTATATAAGACTCCCAGCTTAGCCGCAAGCATAAAATACACTTCTCAAATTATTGATACTGGTTCATGAAAACGCGGCCCTAACTAGGCCTATACAAACGCAGGCTTTTTAATAGCATGCGTCCAAAATTAGTAAAAAACAGTAAAATGGAAATGAAACTGAGCCAAATAACATTTGCATATTGTCTTAGGGCTTTTTGACTAAAGCCCTAAAAAGCCCAAGGCCTAGGCTACGCCTATTCCTCATTTTCCAGGCAGTTCCCAGGACCAGTCCATTATGCGGCTAGCTGTTTGTGTGTTATGTAGCCTAGCCTAGGTCTACACTACAGAGCCGCTGTTTAATTTAATGATTCAGTTTGAAATTACCTCACCTCTAAAGTATCTCGTTGTAGTATAGAAAAAAGGACTTGGTGATTTTAATAGTACAGATGACAAACAATGATTTACTAATGTTTTTAATGCCATTATTTTGCTTCGATCTTTCACATGTTTTTGAGCTTCTGTGCAGCGGCTGATTTGACGCCTATATTTAGCTCCGTTTTCTTTATAAATCAACTTTTAATTGGACAGAAAGTTACACTGTTTATCAGATTAGCCAATAGAGGTGGTTCTACAAGAAAGTGTACATAGTATTTCTGCAGCCGTTTGATAGTGTGCAAAAGACTACACGGTCTGCAATCGCTGAAAAACGACAAATATCGAAGCTTTGATTTGATGTTAAAAGTTATGCCTGGACTAAAGTTAGACCCACCTCCACCAATCAACTGTCAACAACCGGGAATTGCCAAGTCTGTTTTATATAGTGGATCGAAATTTAAGGGTCAACAAAAGAGTAAAGGAAGTTGTTATGCAGTTGAAGTCGAACTACAGGTTTGTCAAGAGAAGAGTGGCTAGGCCACCCAACCATACATGATACTGCACATGTCGACCTGGTTCTCCCATTCAAACTTCAGTACCATTCGGTGGCCAGGTCGGGTGCGCTTTTTGCTTACTGCTACATTACTACTCTCCTGGTGGGCTAGGAGGGCTAGGCTAGTATTATTATAATAATACAGTATTACTTTAGTACCTCCATTTACCAAATAGCCGTATATAGGCATAGCCTATAGATCCTTTATGATTTTATTTATCGTAATTGACATATGATGAGTTGCATTGCAGTTTAATTTATAATTTATTGGCCTCAAACTCAATACTGTCCTGGCACCTGGCTTTACCCATTCTCTCCTGCATCATTCGTTATCAATATCAGTACATATTTCTTTGTATCTGGTGGAATTATATTATTAATGTTGGATTAGGATAGGTCTAGGACAATAATAATTGAATAATAAAAATAACATCCAATCAAAATTAAGAGCAATTTCAGTCTGGGTGTACAGTCGGTAGTAACACTACCTCAAGAATTTTATATGTATCAAAGTAAATAGGCCCTAGTTAATGTATTCGCTGTGGCTAGAGATACGGTACTGTAACGGAACTTCCGATTGCTAGAGGTACGGTAAATTATATTACGTCATGATTAGCCAATAGAAATGACTGACTCTCGATTTGGCTTTTTTGCAAAGTCGACGTCGCCATCATGAGAAACGGGCGCGAACAGTTACGATCAAATTTATTTCATAGGCCCATTTCATGTACTTCGATTGGGGCTTCTCACAATGTTTGGGTTAAAAGTCCTTTCTGTTATTCTTGCGTATTTTATGGTCTACCATAGAGAATGGTCTACTTAGGCTTAGGCATAGGGCATAGGCCGAATACCCACCTAGAGGCCTATGCTTATAGGTGTACTGCTAGGCTTAGGGCTAGTAATGTACTGCTACTCCTAGGAGCCTAGCCTAAGCCTATAGAGTAGTAGGCACTAGTTATTATTGCTGATTGAGCAATAATAACTAGTAATAATAACCAAGCAACATGGCGATTGTAATTATCAATGAGAGTAAACTTTATTTGTAGTACTTAGTAGTATAGGCCTACAGTGCGTATAATACTACTATATACTGCAGGAAATTAACAACACCCGCGAACAAACGAAATTTCTTATCTTCGATCGTTTAAAACCATAAGACACACACTCACTACTCTTGCAGCAGCAGTGCACCGAATGACGTCATGCATGTATCAGCGTTTCTATTGGCTAATCATGACGTAATATCATTTACCGTACCTTTAGCAATCGGAAGTTCCGATAGGGTACCGTATCTCTAGCCACGGCGTAATGTATTTGCATATGGAACATATTTTATGTTGTTTGTTTAATCTAATACATTAGGTCTGCTAAATTGAGAAGTGAATGTAAACAAATACAATAAATCTACAACATGCAACCAAGACACATGGGAAATGATGACGTCACATCATGATCATATATAGGCACATCATGACTATATATATGGGCACATCATAACTATATATAGGCACTTCATGACTATATTTAGGCACATCATGGCTATATATGGCCACATCATGGCTATATATGGCCACATCATGACTATATATGGCCACATCATGACTATGTATGGACCTAATAAGCAACTCAATCTATTATCTTAGATTAGCACATTTTTATGTATTTCAGTTATTTTTCGTATTTTGTATTTTGATGTTTTAATTTTTGTTTCCTAATTCGGTTTTAGTTTCCTTTTATTTTGTGTAATTAATTTTATTCTTTGTTTAAAATTAGTTAAGTTTGATTATTATGTCTGTTACGGCATTGATGCAAAATACCACTGTGGGGATCAATTGTTTACTGTGGTTAAAATAAAGTTTTTATTATTATTATTATTAATATTATTATTCTCTTTTTCAGCATGTAGATGAGCAAAACTGTTACTTGTGTGGTTACCTTAGAATTAAAGGCCTTACAGAAGAATATCCAACGCTGACGACCTTCTTTGATGGGGAGATCATAAGTGAGAAGCATCCCTTCTTGACAAGGAAGTGGGATGCTGATGAAGAAGTGGACAAGAAGCATTGGGTAAGGACCTCATCTGGTTCTTCACCTCAACCACATTTACAATCTTACCATTGATTCCATTTCATAGTTCCATGGTACCTGACAATTACTTATTTCAAGTAACTTTTAATTTTTTTTATTTATTTTTTTATTTTCTACCTTCTGGAGAGATTAAAATTATATCTGGTTTTTGGCTGATTATGTCTTAAATTGTTCAGTTTTTACCATATTGAATGTAAAATACAAGTTTCTGTGGTATTATTAACAAATAACAAATAAACCTGCCTGATGTGACTACTTACTATGGATTATAGCCCATGATGGTTCAATGTGATAATACAGTACGTCTATAAACGTTAATTGATCTTCTTTGATTTTTCTTTCTCCTAGGGTCAATTTCCATCGTTTTTCAATTTTTCTAGCACTTTCAACTCTGATTCATTTAAGTATGATCAACTTGCAAACGAAGACTTTATTTATATGAGGTGGAAGGTAGGTGAATCCAGCTTTCTTCATTAAAATCTTACCAACATCACAAGTGTTGCTAAAATATAGGGTGTGGTGTCCATTCTCGATGTGTTTACAAGGAAAATAGTTTACTCATTTTGTGATAATTACTTATTTGCATATTAGAGAGGATAGGACAGTGACTACTGCTGTAGATGACTGTAGTCTCAAAACCATTTTTCACACCCGAGATCGACATTTGGGGTCATGTCGAAGTACAGAGCTTCATTGGGTGTGTACTACCCCAGTATACTGATCCCTCCGGTTGAAAATTTAATTCAATTCAGGCCTAGAAATTTACTTTTTTAGCCACTAGCAACCTAATGCTAAAATTTGCTAGTCGTCAAACAGGTAACTGGCAAAATGAGTTGCTCAACTAATAAAATATATTGATACCAACCCAACATAATATTTTTGGAAAATAAATTGTATGAAAATAACAACTAATGATTATGATGTACTTTATTGAAATTTGTGTGTTAAATGTTGTAATATAATATTTTCTGTTATGGTGAGTGTAGTACAATAATTATCACAAAGAAATAGCCAAATGAGTATAATCAATTTATATTATATTTATTTTATATTAATTTTATATTATATTATTTTGAAAAGTTCCAGTTTATGTGACTTTTCTTTCATATTTTATTTTACTTAATTTGTTTTACTTACTAGGTTTAACTACAAGGTATTTTGTATAGATATTCCAACTAGCAATCATTTTTTTTAATTTGCTGGTTTGTGAATGTTTACCTAGCAATTATGACAAACCTACTAGCAAATTGCTAGTTTGCTAGTGCGAATTTCGAGCCCTGCAATTACTCAAAAAAAAAATTGACCTACTTCGTTATAACTGATTATTCTGCATACAAAAATAATATTCAAGGATAAAAAAAAACAATGAAGTACTGACCTGGCAAACTTACTTCCATTTACCACCATCTGAGCTCTCCAACTTAAATTCACAAGCCCTCTGTTTATTGGTCTTTCAGGAACATTTTTTGGTGCCAGACCACAGAATTAGAGACATCAGTGGAGCATCGTTTGCTGGATTCTACTACATTTGCTACCAGAAGTCCAAAGGCGCCATTGATGGATATTATTATCACAAGAGCTCTGAATGGTATGTTTCTGCTTTGCACTCTATCCATCACTGCCATTGTTAGGGATTTCTTGGGGTACCTTGCAGACATGACATGTCCTGGTAATGACACAAATGGTTTTCTGTATTCAGTGTAGACAGTGCATGACCTGTCTCTTATACACATCTTGGCTATATATGGCCACATCATGACTATATATGGCCACATCATGACTATATATGG